AGGGTAATTTTTAAGAGGGGTTTTTAGAGGGGTTTTTAATTATATTTTAAATTAGACAAGTTAAATATTTCATTTTAATTAATTTTAAATTTTGTGATGTTATTGGTGTTTTTAATTGATTGTCAGCCGCCCTGAGTCCGCAAGGAGAAGGGCGGGATATAAATTCGAACAATAAATAAATAAATAAATAAATAAATGAAGCAATTAGGAATATAGGTTAATTGTGTGTGTATATATGGATTAAATTCAAGTAGGTTGGCTAGCCTGATTATATCATTAAGTTTTCTGAATCCATGTGATTCTTTTTTATTATTATTATTTAATATCTTTACTTTTTTGTAACAAAAGAATCTTAGGAATCCATGTGATTCTGTAAATGTTGACTAAAATCTGATTTTCAGGGTAAGCTACTGCCGAAGTGTGTATATGAATTACAACTAACAATACCACTGGACAAATTGATTGAAGGGAAGTTATCATTTTTCTACAAATAGAGCACCCATACATTTTCAAAGAGCTTTAATTTTTCTGTTGATATTGCAACTGAAACTACTAATTAATTAATCTATCTCTGTGACTGAGCATTTAGATTCAAATACAAAATATGAGTAATTGGTTATTTATTGCAGTTTTATATTGCAACTATCTTATTTGAAATGATGTTTTTACTAACAGCACAGATCTCCCTTCATTTCAGCAATTCATTTTCAATGATCTATACTAAATGAATTAAACTAATATGTTAGTTAGTCCAGAGAAGCCATTAAATAAAATTAGCCCAGAAAAAAACACCTTAGATTAATTATTATTTCATCATCAATCCTACTGCCAGGCAATGTCAAACAAATGATGTTTTCACTTTATTCGAAAAGACCACAAATTAACTAAATACTGGAAAACACAATGCCACCCAGTGGAACAACTGAATGATGGTAGTATGATGTGAGGTTGATTCACAGCAATACATTTTTGATTATTTTCTGAATTCTGAACTGCCCAAATACACCGAGTGGATGTATGGCAAGGTTTAGATTCATATCAAAGTACTCTAGTAGATTACTATTATTGCTGCTGCTGTTGTTATTTAAACTTACCTTGATTTTCAATATATTTAGACCACATGAACTCAGTTCCATTGTAGTATTTCCTAAAGTGTGGATCGTCATAAGAAGCATTACTCAGGGGCCAAAATAAGCATTTATGCCTCAAGTGACCCATGAACAACTGCAATCCTATTAATGCAAACACACTCAGACAAAATAGAGTCAGGATCATGACATCTGAAAGCTTCTTCACTGACTGAATGAGGGCTCCTACAATTGTCTTCAGGCCTAAAATGAAGAGAAGAACATTATCCCAAATTAGCTTTGGTTCCAGCGCTGGGTGTTGGCAACTGAGAGGAATTAAAATATTTCATGCAAGCTCTTACTATTTTTGAAAGTCGTGACTTTTTGCTAAAAGAGAAAGCTTTCAAACTCTTTTGAGACATGAAATGTTAAAAAAACAAAAAAAGCAACTATGCAGGAATATAAAAAGCATCATCACCTAACAGCTATGCAACTGGAAGCCAGAAATTTTTAGTTATTCTTACTTTGCATAAAGCTAATGCAGGGGGTAGGCAACTGGGGGATGGTAGGGGCTTAATTCTAATTTTGAAAGCATGGGTTAATTACAGTCACAAACATTTGACATGAGAAGACACTCATTTACCAGAAGTCAAATTAGCCCTTCTCTCCAGTATGTTCTCTGTGATCCCAGTAGGACTTGAAGAGTTCTTACAATTCCATAAAACATTAGAGGGTGCAGTTTTGCTTTCAAGCATGATGGTTTTATATACATATATAAAAGGACTTGTTAAACACAGCCAAGCAGGATGGCAAGCTAGGTCAGTAGCAAAGGTGGTGTCATGGGCATGCTGTTGCCCAGGGGCACCATGTTGCCTACCCCTGATCTGATGTAAGGAATTTTTTTTACCAATAGTACATTTTTTCAAGCATGACTTAACAGAAACATCTCCTTTCAAGTCAGAAAGTGGCTTGGAAGGCAAGGCTTCTTAAGCTATATTCATGCAATATCCATGCAGTTCCTTTATTAGCATATTATTATTATTATTAGGTTTACTAGCAATCTAATTTTCTAAACACTAACATCGTCATTCCCAAATTATTTCAATAAACAAAGTTTATCTCAATATGAAAAGTGCGACCATTTTTCATATTGTTGTATGAAAGAATATTTACTATTTTAATGTGCAACATACATAGTTTTCATTGCTATCTCATGCAAAAATGTGTTAAACTCAAAGGCTGATGTCTTTACCACAGCAAGAAACAAGGAATTATTTCTAGATAAATAATCTAGATTAACAATTAAATTGGCCCAACAGATATGACTGCAGTTTTGACAAATTAAAATCAGCCTCTGGGTTTAACCTAGCTCTCACCTGGGATGACTGATATTGTTTTCAATGCCCGGAGAACTCTGAATGTTCTCAACGCTGAGACATTGCCCAGGTCCACAAACTCTGTCACATATCTGTAATAGGGGAGTTCACACACAAACACAATGACAGGATAAAAAGTCGGACAGGTACAAGGGACCTCACACCTTACACCACTTACATCTTACCTGGAATTACAGAAATAGTTTTCAAAGCTCTCAATACTCTGAAAGTTCGAAGAGCTGAAACATTGCCTAGGTTTACAAATTCTGTTAAATACCTGTAAATTAAACCACAGTTATTCAGAGTTGAGGTTGACTTCACGATACTTACCTGAGTATTTATTTGAGCTAAATCCTTTTGGTAATTAAATTATAATTAGGTTTGTGATTTTGCATTCAGCACATATAGTTGAAAATAACTCCCCCAGTGTCTACTGGGAATAACACCAAGTGAATGAGTGCAAGTTTGCAATTACTGTCAATGAAACATTCACTAGCAATTTGATATCAATGATTAAAGATGCTTTACCACTTATATATGGCACTGGTTTTGTTAGCAGACTGAAACTTAGGTGTATGTATTTCCATGCCTGTGTGGATGTATTGTGGTGGAATGAAGTATCTCGTCCTTGCAAGTGACCTGCATTCAGCCCTATAAAATGCAACCCCATATACAGAACTGTCAGTACTTTGTTGGGAGCCTAGTGTACACCACAGTTGTTTGCATGATTAATAAATGTACGTGCTACCTTCAAAGTGATATGGATTATTTACATGAGCAACTTGGGGCCACAAGGGTGTATATGTACAGTATATGTATGTGTACTGTATGTGTATGTAAATGTGAAGGTTAATGTGGATTTGTATGTGAATGTATATGTGTCTGTATTTCAGACAATTTGAGTAAATTAGAACTTATTTTTGCATTATTGTTTCAACAAATGAATTTCTGACATTTAAGAAAAAAAAAAAGGGGGGGGGGAACTGGATTAGATACAGCAATTCATCCTTTACATTCAATCTGCTCCTACACTTCCAGAACATAATGTGAAGAAACATGGACTGGACTTCAGGATTTTGCTGATAAAAACAATTTTACTGGTAAAGGAGATAATTATGGATCAAGAAAATTAATCACTACTGAACCAAACATGAGATTAGTATGGTTTATTTGTAGCATCTGATGACAGTGTTTCCATTCTGCTCATACATTGAGAAAATAACCATTGTTTTTAACTAACTTTAAGATTCCTGCACCTATCTACTGTAGAGCAGTGGTTAGACAAGGGAGGCATGCAAGGAAATTACTTTTGCCTATTATGCCCATTCCACTAAGAAAAAGCTATTTGCAATTCATAAAAAATACAATTAATATATGTCAAAATTGTCATGCAGGTGTAATATTAGTGATACTGATTTTTTAAAAAATACATACATCAGCAATGTAAAAAAAAAGGCTGAATACTTACGCAAATGAAATTACAAGAAAATCAAGCCAATTCCAGGGATCTCGAAGGAAAGTAAAATCATCTATACAGAAACCTCTTGCAAAAATTTTTATGAGGGATTCAAATGTATATATCCCAGTGAATGTGTATCTAAAGGGGAGAAAAATCCAAGCAAACTTGTCATTCCCGTAGGATTTAGTTTTTCCTACTTGTTTTATTGCCTTCTTTTCCTTTTATTTGGGGCCTTCCAATATTGGAGAGATTTTTGCACTTAAAATGATAATTTTCCTTTCACTTGCCCTCCATTTTCATTCTCAATTTCTGCTCCAACAGCTTGGAGCTAAGGGCAGGAACGTTCTCTTTATCACAATTATTATAGTACTGGATTTTTCACATTATTTTTATACTGAGCTTAAAACAGTACTGAAGACATACATCTCATTAAAAGTTTTAAGACATAAAGATTTAATATAACTTTAGACACAATGTGAGAGGGGTGTTTTTATATTCTGTCACAGTTTTTAAGAGAGTTGGAATACAATGTACCAAGTTTTTTAATACAGAAAGGTAATGTTCCTTATTTGCTGAATGAGAAGGAAGATATATTAGAAGAAGGAACTTATATTAGTTTATTACTGAAGTGACTGACTGGTGATAAAAAAATATATCAAAGCCCTTATTGTTTTAATAGATTCATTTTCAAACTATGGAGGCATATGAAAGAATTACTGTACATGTTCTATTTTGGACATGTAATTCTTCCATATTTTTCTCCATAAATTCCATGAGATTGGTTTGTGAAATTTTCTTTTTTCCTTGAGTATGTCATGACTTGTCTCCCAGTGACACCAAAATCTGCATTTCTACTGACAGATTAAAGAGAACTTATACATATTTCTCAAATGTATATGATACATAATTAGATAAAACTGTTAATGTAAATTGCCCAAGAATCTTTTTAATGCAAATTTCCCTGCTTTCATCTTTTGACATACTTTTTCTAAAGATTTCAACATCCAAATTATGCAATATACAAACTTTTTAAAAAAAAAATATAAATAATACATTTGCATACCAGTTTCAAGACTATGAAATGTAGTGCTGAATATTGTTCACAAAACTATTCAGAGCAGAATTATTTCCCTTCTTGTGGACTTATAATAATTTTTTTACCTGTCAGTGAGGATTTATTTTAGCTGGTGATATTATAAGAGCAGTTTAGAGCTCTAAAGAAAAAACTAAATGAAAAAAAGATCTTCCTTTCCTACTATTAGCCAGACTACCCTGAGCAATGTCTATTGACAGATGCCAACACTAAATCTAAACCATTACCATTTCTATTCCAATGAGCATAACTTTCAAATAAATGTTGAAACTGAATTAAATGTGCTGCATTTTTTTCTTTAAAAATGTAAGTTGCATTAATAAAGTAAAGTTAAAGTTTCCTCTGTCTAGCGGTTATGTGCCGGTGCTCATCTCCATTTCTTAGCTGAGGAAGACAGCGTTGTCTGAAGACTTTCCATGTTCATGTGTCTAGCATGGCTATATGCCAAAGGCGCACAGAACACTGTTACCTTCCCACCAAAGGGGTAGCCATTAATCTACTCACATTTGCATGCTTTCAAACTGCTAGGTGGGCAGGGGCTGGGGCAAGTAATGGGAGCTGTCCAGTTGCCAAGTTCAGCATCTTTAACTGCTGAGCCATCATGTCCCATTAAGTTGCATTAATAAAATTGTGCATGGTATATCTACTAATGTTCTCAAAAATGTATAACTGGCTCTTCTGTCTCAATTACTACGGTGAGTTGCCAAACAGCGGATCAGAGTACCAGGCATTGTGGCTGGTACCAGCCACAGAGTACCAGCCATTTTCAACTGGCTCATAAAATTCCAGAAAATTTAACAATTGGTTCTTGCAAGTCAGTATGAACCAGCTCCAACACTACCACTGGGTATATTGGAGGGGGGGGGGGGAAGGAAACAAAAGAAATCCATAAAACACCATATATATATTTCTCTTGCTGTAAATCTACATCACTGCCTAGATACAGTATTATCACGAGACTGTCTACATATGACTAAGAAAACAAACAAATTGTGTACTTACTCTACCATCTTTGACCAGTCAGGAGGTTCTTTCAAAGTCATGAATACACAGTTTGTGAGAATAGTAAACATAATAAATATGCTGAATAATGTTGGATTATGTCAAGGAATATGTGACAAATTCTAGACAAATATTTACATCTATCAATTCATTTCAATATGTCTATTCAAAAGTAAGTCCACTTAATTGAGTGAGATAAACAGCACAAGTTTATTCTCTAAATAGCAATAGCACTTAGACTTATATATTGCTCCACAGTGCTTTACAGCACTCTCTGAGAGATTTATAATGTCAGCATATTGTATTTTTTTTAATTCATTACCAATCTCAGAAGATGGAAGGCTGAGTCAACGTTGAGCCCCATCAGGATCAAACTCCAATACCGCATTCTAACCACTGCATCATCAGTGTATCCATGTTTTTTAAGATACTGGTTTATAAATATTCATTGTATGAACTGATGAATTTAATTGAAAATATATCTATAAATTCCATATAAAAATGTTATGCCCACATAAAAAGTTACTTCCAAGATGGATCCAAAGTTTTATTCTACTGGTAAAAAATCAAAAGAAATCTGGTAATATATTTTACAACTAGCAAATTGTGTTAAAAAGCATAAGCTTTTATGAGCTGTCGCTTACTTTATCAGATACTCAGGGTGGCCACAATAAAGAAAAGAAAAGAAAAGAAAAGAAAAGAAAAGAAAAGAAAAGAAAAGAAAGAAGGTTATTCCAAATCGAATGATATCTACAGATAGAATATTTTATCTATTTAAATACGGATTGTTATCAAAGTAATCAAAATTAAGGAAGAGCACGTACATCTCTCTGACAAAAGAAACTGATGCTGCTGTTTAAAAAAGCAGTTTAATAAGAGCAAGTTTTATACTACCACGTTTGTAAAAGGATATGAATGAACTAAAATTTTTATAGAAATTCTTCTAAGAGTGCTGAAAGGACTCAGCATGTATAAGGCAGGTGTGGCACTGAATCTGAAGATAGACTTCCCTTTATTCAATACTATGAATGTCTAATGAGAGATAACAAAACACATAAATGCAATATTGTAATCATTTTGATATTATTTCTTTAATTTTATATCAAGTTGCAGTTCAAACCTTCCAAACAATAATGGTTTTCTATTATGAGAAGGAATCAGTATAAGCCAGGGGTAGGCAACCTTGGCTCTTTTATGACTCGTGGACTTCAACTCCCAAAATTCCTGAGCCAGCATGGCTCAGCTTGGAAACCTCTTCCTTTCCCCTCAGCATGGCTGGCTCAGGAATTCTGGGAGTTGAAGTCCACGAATCATAAAAGAGCCAAGGTTGCCTACCCCTGGTATAAGCCATGTGCTATTCCTTCCCTTCATAATTGTGCAAGAGAAGTTTTCAAAACTTTTGAATTTCATTTTACACTAAGCATAGTTCTGTATAATATTCCCTGTTTTGGTATTCATTTATTTATACAGTGTATTACCAGCTTTCATTTTAACAAACAATTATACTGGGGTTTCAGTACAGCATTAAAACCACAAAACCTTCAAATTATAACATCTTAAAACTATAAAATCATCAGCTTGCAAAATCTTAATAATTACCACAGGATTAATGAGACCCAGAAGCACTGAATCAGTTGAAAGCCTGGGCAAAGGTAGCATCTGCTGTAAATGAACCGAGAAGATTTCCAGACTTGTATATCTCTTGTTGCCTACTTTAACTATTTTTTAGTATGCCATAGTGAGGTATCATATCAGGGTTCTTCAAACATGGCAACTTTAAGACTTGTGGACTTCAACTCCCAGAATTCCTCAGCCAGCCAGGGCTGTCTGAGGAATTCTGGGAGTTGGAAGTCCACAAGTCTTAAAGTTGCCAAGTTTGAAGACCCCTGTATCATATCATAATTCTGCGTGATAAAAGTAAAAGTGCTCCTAGTGCACAAATTATCCTGGTATATTGTTATGCGGTGAATATACCCTCTTTAATTTTAAGGTAGGAGCATGGGGGGCTCACGTGGTTAGGACGCTGGGATGGAAGTTACCAAACCTGCGTTCAAGACCTGAGTGCTGTCCTGGGGTGAGATTGAGCTCCCATCCTTCGCTCCATCTCCTGCCAGGGACATGAACGTAGCCCCCGACTGGGTGTCCCCCAGGCAGTGGTGATGCCACCAGCTAATCGTTTCAATCCAGAAGCACCTCGATATTTCTGACATGAGTGCAATTTTAAGGCGACTGCATTTTTCTTTGTCTGAATTGTAAATTATGATTTATTGTCATTGTATGATAATTTTATCGACAAACAGCAGATATGTGCAAAATTCCAGGAAGGGACTTATTTCCCCATTTACATTATGATTGAATGTTAAATCCATACCTATGGCAGCTGGATGAGAAATTTTCTACTCTGGGAATAGGAATGCACCTGCCATGTAGGATTTATGACAAAAAAAAATTCAAAGTAAATAATTATTTAATGGTTACTTATTTCAGTTTGCCACAAAGATATGGCAAATAAGGCCTCAATTTTCCAATTCAGTACAAATGCTAGTTGATTAAGCAGGAAGAGCAGATTTGTGGTGCATTTGTTATAATGTTAAAATAACTGCTAGGTAAGATACATTTACTAGCCAAACACTGCAGTCAAGGCAGTGGTGGGATTCAAATATGTGAACAACCAGTTCTCTGTGTGGATGCCGCTTCTGGAAGTCCATTCTAGGCCCGGGCAACAAAAAATTAGCTACCGGTTCTGCCGAAGTGGTGCGAACTGGCTGAATCCCACCACTGAGTCAAGGTTACACATGCACATTATGCAGAGCGTATATACTCATTTACATATAACCCATGCTCTGGTTTTAATCTTTATGAACACTTACTTTTTTATTTGCATAATAAGGGTCTAGGTCTTCCAAGGGCTCAGACACAAAATGAGAAGGAATGTCTCCATAAATTAAAGGCAATGGCTTCCCGGCTTCCAAGTCAGTATTTGGCTTTGGCTTGCCTTCATCGTTGTCCTCCTCCTTTTGCTCTTGATCTACTTTTCGTTTGTCTTTTTCCTCAGTGATCCTCTGCTCAATTGCTGCAAGTGACTCCGGAGTGAATCGGAAGAAGCAATCAGGCCCTGGCTGTGCAAACAGTGCATGTGCCATTTTTTCATTCTGCAAGTTTTAATTACTTTTTAATTCTTATGAAAAAATGACCTATGGGAAGGAGGGAAAAAATCGTAAGAGTTGAAAAGAAAGAAAGAAGCAACAACAACAACAACAGGTTTTGTGTCTCTGTGTGAAATTCTTCCAAGCTGCAACAGGAAAATAATAATAGATCCTGGCCAAGCAAATATGAACTCTTTTTAAAAAAAAATATTCAGATTTTCCTAATGAAATTAGGGTTAAAGTTCCAAAATTCAGTGAGAATCAACGGGGTATGGTACTGTAAGCTCTAATCGTCTACATTCAAAATCCAGAACTGAGGTTTTCTTTTATTTAAAATGCCATTTAGGCATAATTGAGCCTAAAGACTTAAAACATTTGAATCGCATCAGAAAATTCTATGTAATGTTTGGATCCAGCTCATCTTACTATTAAGTATTTGCATGCAGAATCATGATAGGGCAGGAAGCTTTTTCTTGTTCCAAAGGTGTATAGCAAGAAATTCCCCTGATAACGAATAAAGAAATTTCATCTACCCATCTCTTTCATCTATTCTTTAGTTATACAAAATATTTATCAGGCTGAAAGAATGGCTTTTGGATTGTAAACTGACTTTATACAAGCTGCTCTAGTGGCCTCTTTCCGTTAAAAAGGAGAGAAAAAAAATGGGCACAGGTACAAGTAGTCCTTGACTTATGACCATAATGGCAATGACCACGTGATCACCTTGCTTAATGATTCTCACCCCTGCCCTCCCCAATGTGGTCATTAAGCGACTATGCTGGTCATTATTTGGAGTATGGGGTACCTCAGTGATGGAGGAGACACTGGGAGGTCTAGCGCAGGCCCACCTGCTCCAGGCCTCCCAAGCCCCCCCCCACTCTGAGACACCCCCATGTTCCACTTCCCATTCCTTGGTGCTCCTGTAGGCCTTGGGAGCACCCTCAGGCAATGTTTTCACAGAAATTTGTAGTTTTCAAGCTCAAGGATCTTCACCGCAGAAGCTACAGGGGCATATCATGCACAGGCATATATTGCCTGTGAATGATGTAATTTATGAAATTTGCATGAATTGTGCCATGATGCAAATAACGCAGCGTATGTAATTCTGATAGCTTATGTAATCATATCATGACATATGTGGTGTCACTCTGTCCCCACCCTCCTGATAAGGGCAAAATGTTCCATCTCGGCTGTAAGGAAGAAGAATGCGTTTGGCAAGTTGTAACTGTTTAGATGCCAAATGTAGCGTGAGTTTTAAACAGACTGAGCACTTATGATGATGATCATTATTTCCGACAACCACAGGAACCGAACACTGAAACGAAGATGCAGGAACCACACAATGCAGAACATCGCACTGCACTTTGCTGAATGCAAATCAAGCATTTGTGCGAAAGGAAGCTTTTTTCCAATGCAAATAGGTGCAGCAGAGCCAGTCCAATCAGGGAAAAGGGTCAAAATGTGCCCCCTTCTCCAAGCACTTGTTACCTATTTTAAGAATATGTTTTAATAATTTCTATATTGTAAATAATGTCTTGTTTAATTTAGCCCTGAACTACCTAAATAGTTAATATACACTGCATTTATATGCAGTATGGAGCAAGTCCTTCTGAACACAGAGGATTTAAGTTAGAATCACGTTTGTGTTGCATGTGTACCTTGCCTAATGGATCTATTTTTACCTACGCACTAATTTAAAAGGAAAGGAATATGGAAACCCCCATCCGACTAAAGTAAATATTTATTTTAATCAGTCTATGTAAATTCAGCGTACATTAGGCAAACTTTTACTTGCTTTATATAAACAACTTGTGCATTTATAGATGCCAAGTCCACAATAATTATTCTAAAACATTATTTACCATTTTATTCTCAAAACTTCTTCATGAAAAGGAAAACATAGGAAAAGGGGGATCAATTTAGGCCAGGGCTTTTCAACCTTTTCACAGACTGTACCACCTTTAGGTCATGACAATATTTGAGTACCACCAGTGGTAGCAAGGTGTCAAAAACTTAGTGACAGATATCTTTCCAGGATTTCTACAAGTCCATTTTTCAAGACAAAAATGACCAGTCCATAATTAGAGATGACTCCCAGAACCTTTGTTTGCATTCCCAGGAGATTAGCAGCCTATTTTCCCCATTTTAATCCTTAGAACCTCCACTCTCCCCCCCCCCAGAAAAGGCCACCAAAAGCCACATCCAATGGAACCCCTCTGTCCCCCAAACAAAAAAAGGTTTTCCTATCCCTCCTCAGCCTGATATCTAGGAACAAGGAAGCCCTCCCATTTGAAGTTTTCTAAACTTCCTTCATCCAGATTTGGAAAATAAACTGTTGCTGCCTTAAATATTTAGCCCAAACTAACCCAAATTCCAGAAATGTGGTTTTACAGCTGATCAACTGTAGCTGCATGCGCCGATCCTGGGCTTCTGCCCAGCTCACTTGCTTGTGCTTTGCCGGAAAACACGCCGCTTGCTAACTTAGCAGAAGCACCAGGATCAGTGCCGGGCTCCAGCTGAGCGGTGCTTGTGGGCGGCTCAGCAGAAGCGTGGATCAGCTGTAGCTATGTGCGCCGATCCTGGGCTCCTGCCCAGCTCACTCGCTCTTCGCCGGAAAACACGCTGCTCGCCAAACAGGCCACTCACTAACTCACCCTTCACCCTAAAACACGTGCTTGCTAAACAGGCCGCTCGCTCGCTCACTCACCCTTCCTCCAAAAACAGGCCGCTCGCTCGTTGTTCCTCCGAAAACAGGCTGCTCGCTCTGTCTCTCCTTACTGCTTTGGTAAGAAAAACCTCTTCTCTTCTCGCTCTGCCCCTTTTATACTATTCTCTTCTCTCCGCCCTCCTCCTCCTTTTCTCTTCCGAGTGCACTGGAAGCACCAATTACTATGTCGCCACATGCGCTGATCCTGGGGATTCTGCCAAGCTCTGCAGCGCCTGCTGATCTCCTCCAGGTCTGTGCAGCACCGCTTTAGCTGGTTCCCTCCCCCGCTACACTTGGCTAGGGCTCGCGTACCATCAGCCATGTACTAAAGTACCACTAGTGGTACGCGTACCACCGATTGAAAAGCCCTGGTGTATGTCATACACTATCTGTAGTTCCCTCAATCTTCCTTCATGGAGTCTAGGCCTCATATTTTTCTTTTCGAAAGCACTGCTTGAAATGAGCCACTGCCTGAGTTAATTACTGTTTACGAGATAGACCGTGATTCTAAGCATTCAAGACCGACCGAAGGGAACGTTAAAGTTAGAACGACGGACGGGACGAGTATCATCTTCGAAGGTTAGACAGGAAGTAGAATTGTGAGTTTGTAGGTAGTGTGGGGAGTGAACGAAACAATAAAGTGGTGTGTCGAAGATCCGTTCACGGTGTTTAAAGCAAACATTATGAAATGAAGAAAACCAAGGTATTCCCCCACGGCTGCACCGTTGTATTCTTTCACCCCAACAAAATGACATATAGAAAATACTCTGGGATATCATCAGTATGATGGGAAGATATTCCACACACACCTCAACCCTATTCCCCTAAAACAGGAGTCTTCTATCTTGGCCCTTTTATGACTTGTGAACAGGCATGCTGGCTGAGGAATTCTGGGAATTGAATCCACAAGTCATAAAAGGGCCAAGTTTGAAGACCCCTGCCCTAAAACTTTACTGGTAGTCCTTGCTTACTAACCACTTGTTTGGTGCCCTTTTGAAGTTATGAGGGCTTTGCAAAAGGAAACTTACAACCAGTTCTAGAAGTTACAGCCATTACAGGCTGCAATTCGGGTGCTGGACAACTAGTGTGCATTTACAGTATTTGCAAGTTCCTGTGGTCTCACAATCTCCATTTGAGCCCTTCACATCAAACTTCCAACAAGCAACGTCAACAGGGATGCCAGCAGGAAGTCGCAAGTTGCAGTCATGTGATGTCATGCTTAATAACCCATGGTGATTTGCTTAACAACAGCAGCCCGAACTGATGTTGCAAGTCGATGCCGTCACATGGTGTTTCACTTAATAACCAAACCACTTAGCAACAAAGTTGCTGGTTCCAAATGCAGGCAGTGAGGACTACCTATATTTTATTCCGAAATGCAAGCAAGATAATGATTGAGAGTTTCTTAAGATATATTTACAGGCCATAGGACAAAACTCACCATTTAATGAAAAAAACTACCATGATATGTTTGCCACCTTGAGTGGTATATATATAAAAAAAAAGGGGGGGGGGAGGAAAATCTAATTTAAAAAAAAAACTTGACAACACCTGATACATGCTTTTTGGCTACAGTGAAATAAATGCAATTATTGACAATGAAGGAGAGTGAACATATCAATTAGAAACAAGAAAAGTGATTGCACTTTTTTCTTTTTTTTTAACAGAAGCAAGAAAACCGGCACGTTTACTTACTACTGGAGACTAAGTGCCCACAGCGTTCTAGAAACAAGGTTTCATATTGGTAATGGGCTGCATTGTGTAAACAATTGTAGAACTAATCTCAAATTCTATATGCAGCAACATTTCAGCAAACTGCAAAGCCTTTTTTGATGATCAAACAACAAGACAATCTGAGCACACTGTGCAATGTAATAAAAGACTCCTGCAATTAACTGTGCTGCCAATATGGGTAGTCCTTGATTAATTACAGAATTTCTGTCACTAAGCGATGTGGCCGTAAAGCATGATACCTGATTGCATCGTTTAGCAATGGTAACCCCAGGACTCTCCATTGCTGTTGTTAACCAAATATCACCTGGATATTAGCCAAGGAACCACCTATATCCAAGACATTCCTATCTTGGTCTCTCTCTCAGCCCTGAACTTCAGTAAGATAAGAGACTGTTTTCTTTTTCAACTCCCCCTCATCTATCCCCCCCCACCATCTTTATCTTTTGGATGTCCTGCACTCCGCTGCTTTCCTCACCTTGCGCCTTGCCACCTCCGGCTGACCTTCCTTGACTTCTTCCTCTGGCTGCTGATGAGGCAGACCAGGCCTGACCCTACA